CGGCTCTCCAGGTAGCGCACGAAGGGCAGCGCGGAGCACAGCAGCCGGTACGAGTCCTTGCGGCACCGCAGCAGCACCGTCCCGGTGTAGGCGTTCAGGTACTTCACTGCGGGGACACACACGCATCGGTGAGCCCGAGGAGCCCCGCACGCCCGGGGGCCGCGCGTCCCGCCCGTACCTGTGAAAGAGATGGAGCAGCAGGCCAGGCCGTAGTCGCCGTGCACCCGCCCGATGGCGTCCCTGACGGCGAGGCCCACGGCGCGGTCCTCGATGCACTGGCGGCAGCGCGGGTCGTCCGAGAGCACCTCGCACAGCACGTACCTGCGGACAGCGCGAGGTGAGCGGCGTGGGGCGACCCCGCACCTGGCCCGGCCGCCCCCGCCCGCCTCACCTGTTCTTGAACCGAACCATGGCGGCGGTAGCGCGCGGCCCGGACGGACGGCCCGTCCGGCCAATGGGCGAGGCGCCTCTGTCCGCCGTAGCCAATCGCCGCCGCGCGGGGGCGGGACCAAGGGAAGGGCGTCCCCCCGCCGCGGTCCCGCCTCCCTCCACCGGCCGCGCGTGCGCAGTGCTGCCGCGAGCCGCCCGCCGGTCACGGAACCGCCGAATCGCGGAGTCGGTTAAATTGGAAAAGACCTCTAAGATCATCGGGTCCAACCTGTGACCCAACACCACCATGACAACTAGACCAAGGCGCTCAGTGCCACGTCCAGTCTTTCCTTAAACACCTCCAGGGACGACGAGTCCACTACCTTCCCTTGGCAGCCCGTTCCAGTGTTTGATCACCCTTTCTGTGAAGAAATTCTTCCTAGTGTCCAGCTTGAACCTCCCCGGGTGCAGCTGGAGGCTGTGTGCTCTCGTCCTGTCGTTAGTTGCCTGGGAGAAAACCCCGATCCCCACCTGGCTACAACCTCCTTTCAGGGAGTTTAGAGAGTAGTAAGGTCTCCTCTGAGCCTCCCCTCCTCCAGGCTGAACACTCCCAACTCCCTCAGCCGCTCCTCATAGGACATGCACTCCAGACCCTTCCCCTGCTCCGTTGCTCTTCTCTGAACGCGCTCCATCCTTTAAATGTCCTTCCTGAGTTGAGGGGCCCAGAACCGGTCACAGCACTCGCCGTGCGGCCTCACCAGTGCCCAGCACAGAGAGACGATCCCTGCCCGGGCCCCGCTGCCCACCCAGCTCCCGGCACAGAGAGACGATTCCTGCCCGGGCCCCGCTGCCCACCCAGCTCCCGGCACAGCCCGGTCCCGAGGTCCCTTTGCCCCTCGGCCCCTCCCCGGGTCCCCCCGGGCTCCCCCCCTGCTGCCCCCGCCCTCCGCCAGGGGGCGCGCGCGGCGCGCGGGCCGCGTGAGGGGGCGGCTGAGGGGCCGCGGCCCCGCCGGGTTCGCTGAGGGTCCGAGCTTCGGCTTTAGCCCCTTTCGCTGCCTTGCACCGGCCCGCCCTGGCCGAGCCCGCCTTGTCTAGTGCGCCAAAGTGTGAATGAGGGAGACGGGACGTCTCCGTGTGACGGGAGCCGCGGGAGGTCTGAGGGAGGAGGACGGTCCGGTGCCGGTCAACCCCCGGCTGTGGGGTGGCTGCTGTGGGGCCGGCACTTGCCCCCAGAGGGCTTTAACAAGAGTGTCCAGTTCCTCCCCAGTGGTCCTGGAAGGGCTCTGCTGCCTCAGAAAACTCCAGAGTTTGTAGCTCCTTGGGCTCCAGGTGGGGGGGGGGGTTTGGGCATACGTGCTAAGTAATGAAAACAGCTGAGGGAATTGCGGAACAGAGCTACTACTACTTATTTCTGTCGTGGTTTCCAAAGCTGTGATCTGGGACGTGGTCTGAGGAAGCGGGGAATGCTCTTTGCAAAGATCTGGTACGATAAGAAACTGGGGAGAGGGGAATGGGGGGGATAAGGGAAAAGGTGGGAGGTGGGAGAAGAGCTTCAGCGAGGTCCCTGGAGTCAGGTCACACGGGAGCGCTGAGGCACTATAGATTAAGTGGGAACTCATTGCTAATTCAGAGTGGAAACATCTTCTTTAATGACCTTCATTCCACACAAAGAAAACAGTGATAAACCCAGTGGAAATCCTGTCCTGTGTGATAAACTTCTGCCCTCTGAAATAGATGCCTGCGCTGCTGCTGTCTCCCTGTGGCTATTAACTCCTCTCTCCTTCACCTGTGATCCCCTTTTCATGTTGTGTTTTTTTTCTGAGAACTGCAGAATATGAGTTGAGTTGCCTGGGGAGAAGAAAGCACAAAGTCCAGTATGGACTTTCTAAGAGGCCTTTTCTCTTGGGCCAAGATCAAAGGGACTGGGGGCAGTTTGTCAGTTTTGAAGCTAATGCAGATAGAAGCATTTTCTCCATGAGAGGACTGCATTGCATTGATCTTTGCCATATTGCTCTGTGTTTTAGTATCCAAAAGGGGATCTAGCTGTCATCTGTTCCACTTGTCAATACAATGAGCTCCTAGGTGATAAGCTAGTCTCACATTTTTGAACAGTATTGAAGTCCATGAAGATTCCCAAGTACTTTCTTAGTGGAGTGAGGTCCCAGCTAAGCCTTCCAGCACAGCTGACCAGGTATATTTGTCTGCTGCCCCGGTGTTTGTGTTGGCATCCCCCATCCTGCCTTCTGACAGGGCTTGGGTTGCCCTGTGGTGCTCAGGTTGCTTTTATCCATCCCTTCCCTTATTTCCTTCTTTTTGCAGAGGCACGCTGGGCTCTGACAAGCAGAGCATGTGAGTGCACTCTGCCCTGTAATCCAATAGGACATGTGCACTCTGCATGCTACAGGCTGGGCCCTGTGCATAGCACAGGCCTCTGTTTTCGGTCCAGAAGGCTGATTAGGAGAGACACAGTGCAGAGAGCAGTGTTGTAAGATAGCCTTGTCCTGCCTCATTTCACGTAGGATATTGCCTTTAGTTCCCTGTTGTTGGTTTGAGGGATGCACAGAGCAGACCTGAGCCACCACAGCTCCCTGTGCAGTCACTGCCTGTGTCAGTACAAGGTGTGTGAGTCCGATCAGACATCGTGGTGTGCTGAGCTGACAGCACAGGACTAAAAAGATTACAACATCTTCACATTTTTTTTTTCCCACCTCCTCACTCTCATCCTCTGCCAACTCTGCTGTATTGATCCAGTGTCAGGGATACAAGAAACTGTTGCAAGGGATGGTGAGTTACACAGTCAAGGTGGCAAAGAACTGTCGCCCGAGAAAGGATCCGAGAGAGAAAAATCAGAAAATGCTTTTAAAATAGAAGTGTGGGTCAAGAGACCTGCCAAGTGAGAGGATGGATGTCTCTCCTGCAGACTTGGAGAGACAATGAGACTCAGGACATCTTATCAAATAGAGATTATGGAGGACAGAGCATGTGAGGACAGGGGGAACTAATGTGCACTGTCTATAGACGTTAGAGACAATTTGTAAAGCAGTTTGAGAACTTTGGATATAAGATTCCCCATCGGAATAAGTGTTCACCAATGATTGTCCAATAAAGTGGTGATGCTGGGGAGGTGCAAGAGGAATACTGAGGTGTCATTTTCCCAACTCCTGTTTGTTATGTGTGGTAGTGTGCCTGTGGAGGGGCTATTTCCAGTCAGTCTGGGTTGACTCAGATTTCTTGGTTTTAGTTCATGTTTTGACATTTTACTGCAGGCTTGAAGATCTAAACCTTCATTTTGGATTTACATACCATTCATAATCTCCAGATTGTGGGTTAGATTGCATTTGTATTGTATGGAATTAATTGTGCTAATAATCTGTAATAGACATAATGCATATATCTTATGGTGTGCTGCCAGCTCTTAGAGTTTGTATGTATTCACTATAATTAAAACTATCAGCAAATGTGTCCACTGTAAAAAACATATATTAGTGAATCCTTACACTCTTTTTGGACAGGATGTTTCCATTTTGTAGATGAGGAAACTGAGGTACAGGTGGATTAAACAGTTTCTTCATAGAAAATAACTGTCAGTCTGGAGATGCAGAGCAAGGACATTATGTGAGGAGAGAAAACCCATGTATTAGCACATACTGTGCTGGAGTATAGGTCGTGCATGTTGCTCGTGCATAAAGTAGCCAAGTAATTACATTCTGAAGTAAAATTAGGATGCATTGATGCTCCATCCTTGTGATACCACTGTGTGGCCAACACCATGATTTTTGCTTCCCCCTGGAAACACAGAACTGAATTTGCCATCAGGTGCAGTATTAGAGTTGAGGGTGACAACTACATTTTGTTCCACTGGATGCACATTGCATCCCCAGACAACCCCACAGCCGAAAATACAAAACAATCTGGCTAAAATTAAAACTGCTTCTTAAATCCTGTCTGATGTTGCCCGAAGCTTTTTGTTCAGTTTATCTTCACAAGGTCACTGAGACAGAAGAGTGCATTCTGTGAGCCTGCTGGCCTGGAGCCTTTCATGCAGATGGTTTCATTTAACATTTGGGACATTCTCCTTCTCCCTTTGGTCCCTTTTTACTCCCCCATTTCCCATATCTCTCTACTCCTCCCTTTTGAGCTCAGGTTCCCTTGGATCAATACACGTAGGAATAAAACCTATCCTTTTTTATCACCTTAACATGTAATCACCAGTCAGAGCTTTCTGGACACCCAAGCTGTCATGGGTCAGAGGCTGCTGGTCTGTCAGAGCTGCCACATGAGCTGCCACACGTGCTGCCTGCAGCACTGCCCTCATCTTTGCTGTCATCCTGCCACGTGGAGTAATTGTCTTGCAAAGCTGTGTGTTTGAAGCAAATTCTGCTCCTGCCTCTTTCAGTGCTTGCAGTGTGGTGTTGGACTACTTGTTTAGGATAAAAATAGTAAATTCACATTTCTTTCTTTTTTTTTTTTAATAGTCAAGAACAGGACATTGCAGTTCAGATTAATAGGGACTGTGTGCTCTGAGAGACATCCCACGAGTTGTAAGGTGAGCTTCCATTAAGATATCGGAAATTGGAAGCCGCTTTGGAAGATTGAAGCCAAATTTTAAGATCTGATAAAGGGCACGAGTGCCTGTGAGTTTGGCACGTGCTGTCTGGCATGAACACAGGATCAGGAGTCTCCTGTGCAGCGAAAACCAGCGTGAGAGAAGAGCAGTGCAAAAAAGGTGATGTGCCAAGTGAGAAGCTGGCCCTAAAATTGTGAGCTTCGTTTTCACCAGCTCTACAACAGGAATAATTGCAAATACTTTACTCACAGATGTATCTTAAAATTAGTAAACTGTCCACTTGAATGTTATTATTTACAAAACGTAGTAAAACTGCTTCTCTAAATGAGAGATCTGTAGGCAGCACACTTCATTTGCAGCAAGCTGCTGCAAGAAGGAAACAGCTGTTTCCAAACTAGTTAATTAAATTGAGGCAAGAACTAGAATATTAGTTCAGATAGTTCAGGATTCTTTTCCCTTTCCCTTCTGCATTAGGGAACACAGACTGATCTGCGGGCCACATAAGTTACTAAGTAGTCTGCTGTATAAAACCCCCATATTTAATAGCTCCTTAACAGGGATGTTAAGATGGATTAATTATTCTTTGTTCTGGTCTCTGAAGATAAAGAGTAATTACTATTAATTATGTATAATTGAAAAATTGCTTCTTTACAAAGAATCCAGTAGCATTAGGGAGATTTTAACTTCTTGCTACCTATAGGGAGTCTTACAACATTCCCTAATGTTATGGCAAAGGCTGCCATAAACTTAAGAGCGGCCTCAGCAAGTCTTACTCACTTTCCAGCCCACACCTGAACCCAGTATTTTCAGAGATAACAGATCTCAGAGCAGCTACAGAGGCAGGACTGGGTGTTTTGTTCTGTGCTGAATGGCACTCAAACAGGAGGTACAGTTTGTGAGGCTTGTTGTCACTGAGGATGCTGTGAGACTTTTCCTCAGTAAATTTCCAGAAACCTGTGGAATAACCACAGTAAAAGCAAAGGGAAAGTATTAGGAACCAACAAACAACAATAACAACAACAACAACAAAGCAAACCCTTGAGTTTGCCTATCTGGGGAAGAAGCTTACTAAAAAAAGAAGTAACCAGTACATCTCCTGTGGGTTAGCACAGACAGCAATGGAGACTGTGTTGAGATATTTGAATTTAGGTGAAAAAGAAAAATAAATTAGAATTTTTACAAGAGCAGAGCACTTTCAATTATATAAGATTAGTGGATAGATTTGCCTGAGACCTGGAATTCCTGACTGCCCCACTGATTTCTGTTGTCAAAATATGTAGATTCATAGCTTCCTTTGATATCAGTATGAGTTGGGCACCTTGCCATGCATAAAAGTCTGACCCTTAATCTCTCCAGGCCTGAGGGTAACATTGGCAAAATGAGGATAATAACATTATCTGCTTCAAGGAGTGCTACAAATAAATTATTGAGTTATTATGCACTTAAATAATGTAATAACTGAGATAATATAAACTCTTGCAGCATAAACATATCCTACCTGAGTGACCTTCTCCACATATGACTTGGTGTGGAGGTCACTCTGAAACAGAAATGATGTGTCTGGTGTTGCTTGTCTTGCAGATCTTTGCTCTCTGCTTTTCCTTTCCCCCGAATTCCCATGAGCAGATTAAGCCAAGGCCCTATTTTACAGTAAGATGTGTCTGCTTATGTTGCCGCACACTGAATAATCCTTTCTCTACGCGGCTTTAGGTTTAACTCCAGCAGCCTGGAGCAGCACAGAACCAGAGCCTTCTGCAGAGCACTTGTCTCCCTAATGAGGGAGGCAATGAAAAACATTTTCCAGTGCATCCATCACTCAGTGCTGAGCCGAGTGGACAGGCATCCTGGAGCAGCCTTATATAATCCGTGCCTCTGCCTGGCCCCGGCTGGGCAGTGTGCAGGGGAGAAGGGGGGCTGTGCTGGAGCTGCTCGGGGGGGCACGGCCGGGGCTCCCCCTGGCAGCTGCAGGGTCTCGGCTTGTACTGGTGTCAGCTTGGTGCAGGCAGCGTGTCAGTCACTGCCTCGCTGGGGCACACGGGGCTCAACTCTGCCTGACCCGCTCTGACAGAGACCTCCCCACCCGTCTGTTCTTGCCTAGATCCAATGTTAGCTGCAGCGTCCCACAGCCCAGCACAGCAAGGGAAAGGCCCGTGAAAGCAGAGTAGGGTGCACTGTGTGCAAGCAGATTTGAAGGGGGAGAATCAAGAGCGCCTCTGTTTCTCTTGTGCTGACTGAGGCTGCTCACAAAGACCAGTAAATGCAAACAGATTTCCAGAGGCGATGGTTGTTACAGATGAGAGAAGACAAAAAGCCACTGGAAGCATCTGACCTATTTTGGGAAGCTTGCTGGGGCTTTTTACTTTTATTTTGTTCAATTTTGTTTTTCGAAAGATATACTTGCACCTGAGTCAAAGAGAGTAAATATTTATCATTTTTTTTAAAACTATATGCACCATGAAGACAGAAGGAAACCAAAAAATATCTTTGTGGATTTGTGAGGCTGTTGTCACAGTCGCCCTGAGGGCACAGGGGTTTGAGCTGCACTTGAGATGCCTTTTGCCTGCTGCTGGTTGGTCCCAAGCTAAAGCTCCTGGTGATGCACAGAAGAACCTTTTTACAGTGCCTGATGGCATCTGCCATAGTGAGATGATCTGGGGGCAGTTCACACAGGGCACATCCCTCGGGCCCCCTCAGTAAAATTCCATAGCGCTCATTCTGGAACTCAAGGAGTTGTTGCTGTGTGACCTTCTCTGTTCCTGTTTCATACCTGTGAAGATCATGTTTATCCTGCTGTAACATTAGTGACTTAATTAGAGCTGAATTTGGTCCTACTGTCTCTGAACATGAGCAGCTCCCATCTAGTCATCTAAAGGATCAGATCTGGTTTCTTCTCTCTCTCAGTATTGGTGGCATCTGGTTTCATTTTCCATCTTTCCTGAGGGAGCTCACTTTTCCCCACATTTCAGCATATGCTTGTTGTATGTCAGCACCCCGGGCTGCCCATGTGTCTGTGCCAAGCCAAGTACCACTTTTCTAGCCAGCAAGGGACATGGTGTAAGGACAGAATGTGAGACACATCAGGAATTGGTGGTGTGGACTGTGCATAGCTTAAAACCAGAACCTGCTTGCAGGTCATGAAACTAAGCTGGAGCCAGTTAAATGTGCAGGTTTTTTCCTATGTGTAGGATGTGTAGAGGTAGCAAGATTTTCATCCTGTAGGAGCCTGAGGGACACCATTCCCAGGGTAAATGCCAGGGTGGGGCATCACTGGTGGAATGACAGGGCTGGCAGGGGACACCACACTCCCAGCATAACACCTTAATGTGCAGCACTGTCTGCATGGCATCCCCATTTATCTCTAAATATGCTGGCATGGGAAATTTTCTATGTGTGATAGTTTGTCTCCAGGAGATGGATTGGTTCCTTTAACTTGTTCCACCTCTTCTCCTTCCCTGTCCCCACCCCAACCGCTTGGCCAAACCACAACCCCCTCAGCTTTGTTTGTGGCACAAACAGGGACAGCTATTCAATCAATAATGGTGAAGTTATTTTTTTGTAAGATGTGGGATTTTTAAAAAGCAAGAAGTGATGATTTTGAGTGTTTATTAGATTCCTCTAAAACATACATTCAACTTCAGCTCTCAATATGTTAATGTATATTGCTACATAGATAAATTTATTGCTTGAAAAAGCATATGTACTCTCTGTTATTTCTCTATTATTATAATGTTACCCAGTATTGTAAAATCAGCATCTGTGACTCAGATCACAGACATTAACAAAATAATTTAAAAATAATTTTATTTAATTAATTTACTTAAATTATACATACTAAGCTCTTTTATTTTTGGGACTTGCAGGGTGCAGGTATTTCTCTGTAAGTGTGGGGGCAAGCAACTTCATTTGTCTTTTAATAGTCTCTTAGTATCAGAGACGGATGATATCATCTCATACTGAAGCTCATTTTTTAATAAAACTGCAGCAGTTTATAACATGGATACAGAGCTCCTGCTCCCATTCACGTTCCCTCCTACTCTACCCCATGTTCACCACAGTGACAAGCACAGGAAGCTGAAGGACATGTACTAAATCTCCAGTTCAGTTCTTTAGTGCCTCTCACACGTTATAGCTTTATGGAGGAGGTGATGTTTTGAGGACAGGGTATAAGCAACTTTAGATTAAGTAATGGACTTAATAACTTCCTATCCCAGCAGACTGTCTTTGTGGCTGTCAGTGCCGTGTAACCGTGTCCCTGATATCCAGTCTGCTGTTTTCTGTATCATTATTCATAAGCTCCCATCCTGAACAGCAATCAAACTCTTCAGGCTGTGCCGTCTGGGGGATTATCACACTCGCTGGGCCGTTAAAGTCACTTCGCCTCGAGTCTTCTGCCTCTGAAAAGTGCCCAAGGCTAATCACTGTGAAATGTGATGCCTGTCATGTCTTCTTGTTCTAGTGTGTGCAGCAGGCCTGTCATTCACTAAAAGCCTTAACATCTGTTATTACACGGTAATCCTCACGCATCAGGCTTCCAAATAAGAAACTGGTGGAGTCCAACAAGGTATGGCTCAGCCTTGGTTTGCATAATTCCCAGAATGCAAGGCAACTTGCTCTCCCTTCTGAAATCATTAATAAGCAATAAGAATATTATATAAGCTGGCATCTTTTTTTAAACCATGATAATTTCAAATGCTATTATAATTAGGATGAAGATGAGAGTTTGAGCTGGGGGAGGGAACAGAGAAAGGATTAAGCTGATCTCCACCATGACGTTAGAAGGTGGCTTTGTCTGTAATATCCTAGTTTGGACAATAATGGGTACACTTTAGAAACATAAAGAGGCAAATAGACAATTTATTTGAAAGTATTAATCCTTTTCATCCTGAAATGTTATCTCTTGCCTTAAATAGGATCACAGCTTTCCAGTCCACTTATATCCTGACTACTTGACCCTTTAGAAACGCCTGAAAAGCAATATATGTTTGTGTTGCACCCCTGGTGACTGTCAGCTCCATAGTGGGTCTCATAAAGTGGACAGAAACGTTCTGTGGCTGGGAATGTCTTTGTCTAAGCCAGAGTGACTGCTAGGTGACTGTGCCTGCAGTGCTATCACATCACAAGAGACGTGGCCTCTCGGGTGGCAGGTCCCAAGCCATGACAGATCAGATGTGATATTTTAATGAAAAAAAGTTTAGTGTCTTGATCGAGCGGGCGGGATTTGCTGGAGAAGGCGAACCAGGTGAAAATATGGTTTATAAATGCAAGTAATAGGGCCGCTTCCTCTGGAATAAGGAAGATTTAAAAAGTCACTTGTCAAAATCATTTCCCTCTAAGGCTGCAGCAGCCCTCGGATCTGAGCGTGTTCCTGATGTTCCCCCTCACTCACATGCACGAACACGGGGAGGCAGGCGGGAGGAGGCAGCTGCACTGACACACTATGGGGTTTGCAGGAACACGATGGCAATTTAGAAGAGCGATTAAAAGATTGCAAACATTTATTAATAGCTTTGCTGCTGCAGCAGCTCTGCCGGAGGAGCCTTGCTTCCTCAGGGATGCTCTTACCTCCTGCCTGTGCCCTTCCAGAGCTCTAGAAACTGAAAAGTCAGGTTTGGACTGGGTTTCAGTTTAATGCCATCAGACTGCAGACCACATTATCCCAGGAGCCAGGAGAGGGGACGGGGGGGACTCGAGTGTGGGAAAGAAACAAGAGAAGGTGCACAGGGCAAAAAGAAAGGATTTGTTCTTTCCAGCTATTGCTTGGCCTTTCTTTTCTTCCCTGTGCTGCTCTCCCTTTCTCTCTTTGCTCCTCTTTGCCCATTCCTTCTCCTCTCCCTTGGGACAGAGTGACTTTTTGTTCAGTGTACTGGCACTACATTCAGATGTGAGTCTACAGTGTCCTTTTGATACTGTATAACAAAATCAATGAAAGACAGGTATAAGAGCAGTATTGGAGAGGATCTGCTGAAAGTTCTGCAGAATGATCTAATTTCCTATATGAGCACAATCAGTTCCTTTGCAAATCTCCTGACTTTGTCCTTGTCTCTTCAGAGACGTTGGGGAAAGGGACAGGTGAAGGTTCAATAAAAAAAAAAAAAAAAAGAAAAGAAAAGAAAGGAAAGTGCAATTGGCTGAGCAAAAAAATCACCTTAATCTTCATGGCTGATCCTGCTGAACAACAGTAAGCACCGTAAATGAGATGGGCAATTCTGATGTTTGAGTGCAGAATATCTGAGACATTTTTATCCCACAGAGCAGATGATGGTGACTGACTGATACAAATTTGCAACAGGAGGATATTTATCCTACGCATATGGTGACCTCCTCCATATTCCTATCCACAGTGGAATAATCAGTTTCTATCATTTTTTGTTTTTTTCAAACTGGGTCCTAAGAGAAACTGAAATGTCTGGACAGCCTAAAAGGAATATATTTTTACTGCCAAGCAACAATGACAGCAGATATAAATGCTTGTGTCCCTGTCACTATCTGAAATCCTGCTGGAGCTGAGATGGATGACAGAGCACCCCAACCTTGGCCAACAGCATGGCCAAGGGACTGGATGTGCCATTGGGCAACGGCAGCTTTTACCTGTGTTTAACTTTTTTAGTTCCGTTGGGATCATTTTTCTTCTCTTCATACACACAGTTTAATCATCCAATTTTTCAAGAAAAATCTCACTGCATAATTACTGCATCTGTGCTTAATGCAGAAGAATAGGCAGAGGGAAAAACAAAGTCGATCCAGTGGATCAGAAAGGATTAAAAATATGATGGTTAAAGAATGGAGGAGCGAAATTAGGGTTGAATTAGGAGTCCTGCATTATTCTTACCTGAACCTGATTTGAGCTAATTTTTTTTTTTTTTTAACTGCTTCCTCTGTTCCTTGAAGTTTTCAGTTTAAATACTTCCTTGGTCAGTTTTCAAGTGCAGGGGTCAGTTTGGAACTTGACCAGCTGAATTTTTGTGTATTGCAAGGGGATGTGGCTTATGAAAAACACCTGATTATCTCTGTTCACTTTGTATGCCCTGCTCCTTGTTGGAAGCTGCACAAGCTGAGAGATAACATAAAACATCCTCCCTTGGGATATTTAAGGAAGGTCTGTATAAATTTCTGAGGAGTTTGGCAGAAAGCCTCCTGGGCCTTAAAAAGGCCTGCTTTTCTAAGGAATGTATATAATACTTTGAATAATCCTAGTCTAAAAGACAGAACCCACCAATGTATTTGGGCTAATTGCTCCTTCACTTTTGTCTTTGGGAGCTGGAATTCCCCATGTTCAGAGCAGCCAAAGAAGGACATCGATGAGGATGAAACAAACCTGGATGTTGGAGAGATATCTGGTCTCAGGTGAGAAAGGATGTAGACAGGATCCTGCAAACACCATTTCAACAGAAGGAACTACTTTTGGGGATGCTTTCCCTCTCATTTCTTGTTTGATGGTTGTAAATGGCAGCCCTTTCCAGATAGTAGCAGCTATATTGCTTCAGCTGCTCTGTGGAAATTCTCATCCTTTCTTAGCAGTAGCTATTGCATTCCCACTGGTTTTAGTATCTTTAATTTCCAAGTTTGCTGTGTGTGGCACCAGAGGATTGCTTACAGTCTTGGGACAATTTGGACACCTGTTGGTGGAATTGTTTTATCAGGATTTTTTTTTCATTTCTGAAAGGCTATTTTGGGGTCTTTGTTGGCCTTTACAAATATTTAAAGCAAGAAATTGTATTTCATCAGCATTTCCCTTGCTCCCATTAGGACCTCAGCCCTCACTAAGGCTCTTGCCTCATGTATACCTCATTTTCTTTTTTTAAACTATTTTGTTGCTCATAAAAAAAAATGTATTGTTCTTTAGTATGACAACCACCACTCTGTTAGTTTTGGAACTGTCATTGTAGGCTTTGCCGTTGGCATTCCTTTGCATTATTAGGACTCCCTCTGGGTATGCTGGACATATCTCTTGAAGTAATTGCAATTGTACTTTGCAAACGAGCAAGGAATTTGCTTTCCTGTGTATTGAGACATTTCTCTATGTCCTGTGTCTTGTACTGGCTGCTATCTCTGCATCCAAGGGGCAGGTAACAGGACTACAGCAATGGATAAAATAACCTGCACTGACCTCAAAGTGTTAAGTTTCTGAATTGATAAATAACATTTATTAGTGAGAATAAAAGAATTCTAGAATGCCAAGAAAGTCATGAAACTTCAGGAGTTTGCCTGTTCTATCCTTCTCCCATCATGAAGGGAAGGCAGGGCTTTGACAGTGTCACCAGGGCTTTGACCTCTGTGATTTTCTTTCTCAGCCATCGCACAACACAGAGCTGGGGGCAGCACTCGGGCACAGCCCAGATACACCCTTGAGACACAATTAACCTGCAGTTGTGCAGCCTTTGTAAAGGTTGGATTCCACAGGGAGGCTAAGGAGTGTAGGGATCAATAGCAATGCAGCTGGATCTCTTCTAATGGGTGAGAGAAAAGACGGTGAGGAGCCTGTTCCTTCTGCACAGTGAACAGTGGGGAGGTGAGATTCATGTTGTTACTCACTGATACCGGAACATTGTAAGAGAAAACTGAGATTATTCTTTGTATCCTTGTTAGGAGACACAGAAGGGGTAATAATGAGGAAGGGGAAGACAGGTTACAGGTGGTAGCAGAAAGGAGAACTGTCCTTCTATGGGTGCCAATAAATAACTTCCTAAGTGCTGAGAAGGTGGTAGAAAGCATGACAGAGGTCTTTTCAAGGTTTACGTTCTTCTATGGAGTAGGTCCCTTCTGTTTAGAAAAAAAAGTCACCAAAGATAAAATATTCCCAGACATGAATATAGAAAAGATGAGGTTGCACGTGATGAACTTACAAAATTCTGAAGTAAGTCTGTTTTAAAACTCTATCAGAACAAAGTCATTAACTTTTAACACAGTGTACCTTACTGGTTTGATGATGAATTAAAAACTGGAGGGAAAATGAAGAAGCAGCTCATGTAAAGCTGCATCATCCTCTGCCTCCCTCGAGACAACAGTGTATCACCTCAGCTGGTAGCAGTAAGCCTGCCAAGCTTTGTCATCGTTTGCATCATGACCTGAGAGCAAACACACCCTCTGCCGTCACACGGGGCAGTGCTGGGCACCACTGGCAGCACTACAGTGGCCACAGAGCTGGGGAATATTTGCCTTATATTTGCCTTGTCAGCACCAGCTGGCAAACGGAGGGAACTGAAATATATTGCTCTGTGTATTCTGTTTGTGTGGATCAGCATCATCAACCTTACTGGTCTTCAGTTCAAATAACAGCTATTTGTGAGTTTTGTTTTTCAAGATTCTGCTTGCAGAGGTTTGACTTCACCTGAAATGTATGATAGTCTTGATTGCCTGTCCTGTTGTCCAGAGCTTGTCTTCTCATACGATGCTCAAGTGAGCCACAGGACATTAAAATTAGTTTATGGAAAACATACCAGAATCACTTGGATCACATTATCTTAAACTTTCCATGTGAAGGAAATGTAGCACCAGGAGATTTCCTCATGTCCTGTCTCCAAATCTTGCTTTCTGCTTTGTTCTGTGTGTTTTATTTTGTTCAAGAACAGTAATAACTGGCTTCCAGACCTTGCTTGTGTTCTCCTTTGATCTTGACTTTGTATTTTCTTCCCTACCTGATATTCTTTTCCTTCCTTTTAACCCAGTATTGGTTTAAATTATTTCCCCCACCATAAGTACTCACACCCAACCCCTTCAGTCTCTGATAATCAGAGCAAATTGGTATGATTTTCTTGGCTAGAACTTGTGCTTTACTTACTTACAGCAGTGTTTATCCTAAAATTCATTAAATGTCCATTTTTATTGTCTTAGGTTTGAGAAAGGACATGTCTCAAGAGAGTTCCACTTGCCTCTGAATAAAGTCAATGTGAACAAATAATTGCTAGAATTTCTTTACTCTTCTTACCTGGTGTCCAATGCAAGTTCAGGAAATCACACCAAGGAACCAAGGAATTGCTTTCCTGCAACAGCACTAGAAGAGGTACAGCTGTCTGTCAGCTAGGTGAATTTCTCTCACAATGAAACAAGCAAATCTGATTTTCTTGTTAAAATTCTCATGTTATTTCATCATAGGAAATACAGAGATGTGCCTGGTAGCACACCTGGCCCAGAGGTGAGGGTATGGCAGCTCACCTGCCTGTTGCTGTGCCCATTTGCTGAACAGTGTCACCACACCTTGGTAAGGAGAAGTTCTTTGTAAGAAAAATGAGAGGTTCAGTCCCCACTCAATCATTTCCATGACAAACCAAGTACTGGGTTAGAAGCTCCAGTTGAACACCAGGGTGGTGAGGATAATGGTGTGGACAAAGGGTTGAAGATTTCTAAGCCCTCTTGACAGATTTTGCATTGTTCACAAAGTGATGTGACTTCTGGGTGCTTATGAGTAATGGGCAGAGCTGGATTGTTTAGTGTCCCTGTCCCCCAAGGCCACTGCCCTTTGAGAGGGAACAGTGTGTGCCACTGTTTGGCAGCCACGCTCCCAACCTGACGCAGGCATTTTGGGGGGGCCACGGAGCTGGCAGAGATGACTCATTCCGCCTCAGTGGCTCATTGAGGAGCTGCAGGGAGAAGCTATTTATAACCAGACCTTTCAGGTTCAGTGCAGCAGCATCTTCAGCAGGAGGGGGACGGGAATGGGATTGGAACATAAGACTTCCCAGATACAGACCAGCTCCCACCTCAGTATGGTTCCTAGAGCCACACAGCCACCAGCTGACTTCAGCCAGCATCTTTTCCAAGTCTTTTGTCCAGCTGTAAGGGTGCCCTGGTCCTGGTGTAAGATTCTGCTGATAACTCATCAGCTCCTCAAAGAGCAGGGAGACAACTGTGAATATCATCAGTGTGAACAAAACACAAACTCTTTCTAGTGTAGCTGCTAGCTGACACTTGCTGATTCTTTCTGACCCCTGGGCATGGCATTATCACCTTTATCTTTTCTTTGTCTCTGTGTTTATCCTGAGCTCTTTCCCTGGGTGTTTTCAAACAGTCTTTATGCTGCCAGCAAATCCCATTTAAACCTCCTGAAGTTTCTCTTCTATACAAGCTGTCACTGTAAAACTGTAGTTAGTTTTCTGATCTTGCCATGGATTCATTTCATCTTTAGGTGCTTCCATGACTCCACATGTGAAACAGAGATAATGATACCCCCTGGGTTAAGCACAGTGTGATCTACAGCAATGAAACACCACCTAAGTGGTAGGACTATTACCAGAGAGAATCACAGTACAATAGGAAAGTGTTTTACACAACAGTAGAGGACAGCAAAGAAAATATTTACTACAAACACACGTCATTGTAGACTTTATCTTGAACCATGTTAGGACACATAAAAGTTGAGTTTTCTGTTATATTAAACTTCTTCAAGTTTGTTCTCTTAACTGGCTTTTGAATTCAAAGCCACGAGGCACCAGGGATCCTGTGGCATGAATGTTTACCTTGTTCTTGTTCTACGTCTGTCCTATTCTTAAACCAATTTGCGTATCTCGAGCTGGGCTGTGGTTAGATGGCTCCTTGCCTCCTGTCACACTGTTGCTGCTTCCCACAGCTTAAATGCTGCATATCTGGCCCTTCATCTTCTCTTTTTCTTCTCGTTACTTCTTTCTTCCTCTCCCTTCTTCATTCAGTAGACAATTGGCTCAGCAGTGTGAGGCTGGTGCACAGTTTGATGAGTGTAAAGACTCAGTGTTGAGGCCATTTGGTAGATCTGTAGGTTTCTTTGGGGGTCTCTCTTCTGGCTGTCCTACATCCCTGTGTTATGGACCCAGAGCTATATTGGCCTATTTACAGTGCATTGTGTTTATTGTCTTCATACAGAAGCTGTACTATAAATAATTCTTGCCTTCAGTTTTGGCGACCAGCTAAAGGGGAGGTCTACCCTGCATAAACCAGTGCTGCAATGATAATTTATTTCTTCAAGTCCAGCTCTAAGACTGCAGAAATATGTGAATGTGGCACATACCTCATAATCTGAGGTTGCCTCTGCACAGTAGCCCAAACTCTTCCTATCTGCCACATCATTTTCCTGAATCTCTGTTTTGATTTGGGAAAAATAGACATCTGGCTCTTATGGTTGCACATTAACCTCTGAAACATCAACAAAATGTAGCTGGTGCAGAGATATTTGTGTTGGTCTTGAGAGAAAGAGACCATATTTCAGGGACATGAGGTGTAGTGTTTGGGGGTTTTTTTGAGTGGTAAACTAAAATGTGCTTGTAACTTATAAGCGATTATAACTTGAATGTCAACTTTGCTCCTTGTCTCTTTCTTCAGCAAATTTTGCACAGTAGATAAAACGGTTCTTAGAGCTGTTGGTTTATCCCATGGCACCTCAGGCACCATGAGTACAGTGTATGGAAATGCAGCTGGCTGCCCTGGATGTCTCACCACCTCCCCTTTGCCTGAGGCTTGCAACATTCCTGAGCAGACCCCTGGAAGGGGATCCCAAGAATGGGCAATATGGCCAGAGAGCACACAAGGAGATTTGTCCAGGTTTGACTTCGTGAACCCATAACCAAGAAGGTTGGGAGGGGAAACCAAGAGTGTGCATACATGTCAGAGACTGAAAGGATTTACTTCCCTGCATTTCCAATTGCTTGTTTTCTATCTGGGGAAAATCCCTTTTGACAGCCCAGGCGGTGAGCTTCTAATTCCTGTCTCCGGCTCATTTTTCACTTCAATCCCTCAGCGAACGGATTTTAATGCTTGATGGATTCAAACAAAATTATTTCCGTTCCTGTGGCTTTGCAAAAGCCTCCAGGGTGTGTGTATGTGTGCACAGGGGAGGAGGGATGGGGCTTGTTTTCGTTACACTCCAGTAAGCCTCCTCTCCAAGGGAGACCTATTTCATTTCTTCATTTAGGGCTTTCTTGCTGATGATTCCCCCCATGCTGTCCTCCTGGCTCCTGGGTCACAGGAGGGCCTGTAAAACATTTGCTGTTCCAAGGGGTACAGGATGCAATGTTCCAGATCAGTGTTTCTGATGCAAGTGGGGATTCAAATAATATGACCATACTGTGCTTCCAGGAATAGCACTAGACTGGGGGGGAATAACTGTGGGAAAACTTTGATACTCCCCTGCTCTTGCTGGGAGTGAGACACCACCACAGGCTGAGAGATGGGGTTGGTGACTGAAGCATTGTCTGGGTAATCAGTGTTTAGCATTGACATCTTGTTTGAACATGTGTACAATTCACCCCACTGCCATTGTAATGGACAAGTGTTGCTTTTTATTACAATTTCCAGCCTCTCCCGGCAGCAGAAATCACTGTAGGGAACTGTGCAGGGAGTCTTCTTGCATAACACTCAGTAATCAGTCAGAATTTCAGCTGCTCAACCACCATGTCTCTCTGCTGGGCTTCTTCCACTGAGTTCTTGTGTCTGGGAGGCTAAACACTATTAAAATGCTCAATATCTCACCCTTCTATCCAAGCCAGCATCATCATCCAAATTAACAAAGCAATTATTCTATGATACACAGCTCTAATAAGGATTTATAACTAATAAATGCTAAAGATCCTCATTCTCTGAAGGATTTAGAGTGTAGCATAAAGTTGATGATGCCTCTCAACATATGAGACTACTGTTGTTAGGGTGTGCTAAGCCCACTTGGTGATACCATATCTAGATTAAGTTATTTCAACTTATTATAACAGCTCCCAAGCTGTCACTTTGTCAGGCAAGGCAAAAATCTTGTTCCTGAACTTGGAAATGTGTTCTGTGTTCCTCTTCAGCATATGCCTGTCTTCAAAGACAACCTCCCATGTCCACAGCCTCCTGTGAATATTTGTTTAGAGCTATTGATCATCATAAACGTGTGTTGTGTCATGTTTGTAAAGCTGGTGGATCTGGGGACTACAGGGTGTAAATTGTCTGTTTCATTTATTCTATCTCTTTTTGTTACTTCACATCCCCAGTTCCTCTAACTTCAGGTTTTTTTCAGTATAAGTGTTCTAATTCTCATTTTTTATTTTGTTAAATACATTGTCTACAGTGGAGAAGCCCTGTTTTATTAGTGTGGTTTTCTAATATGTTGCATCAGAAACTACTAACTTGCATTATAAATACTCAAAGTCATGCATAAAGTATACATTGAAGTTTTAGTTGTAAATATGGTAATAGCATTTCAGGAATTATTTATCTAGTTAATATGTTCTTGCGTGTAATTGTATTTTTATTTTAACTCCATCAATAAACTTCAAGGTTTCAAGCCAGGGACAGTAAATTGAAGTGTTAATGAACTTTGGAACTTCATTAATAAAAGGATGCAAAGTTTGTTTGGTAGCAGAGGACACTAATTTATGAACCAATAGATACCACTGACCTGAAAGCTTCAGCTAATTGTTAAAGCAGTGGTAAAGGCAACTCTCCTTTTACATATCTTTAGACTATAAAAAATAAATAAATCTAATTGACAGTTTGCAAAGGATCAATAAGAAGTTGAATTAATTGTGAGCAAAAAAAGAGCTCTTACATTTCCATCTTGTCTTTCCGCTGGAAAATGTGGAGATTTTACTGCAGATGTAGCTGATTAATTAGCCTTGTCCTTTGCCACCAGAGAAGGGAAGTAGACAAATATTTGGAAAATGTGGTTTTTAAATACTCTCATTTCAGCTAATGTTCTGGATTGCTTCTGTGGTATTAATAATGTTTATTAATATTTTGGTTGAACATTTTCCTAAGTCACCAGTGTTCCTTTTGCAAAGGCGTGAGTTGTGAATCCAGCTGGATACCATTGGATTTACTTGCTGCAGATCAAATTATCTGATGTTAAATACATATTAGCATATGACTGCACCAGTTTTATCAAAAGGATTTGCCAATAAATGATAAATTATTTTAATACTGGTTTCCACCACATTATTGGGGTGAGGTTAATGGAGACTGGAAGTTATTCCTAGTGACAGAATACAGTGTCAGTACCACTGAGAAAGCAGCATGTTGCGTTTTTCCTGCCACTTGTTGTCTCTTTTAGTTGGTGACACTGGAAAATCTTAGAGACATGGCTGGTGTCTTTCAGCTGGAAAAACAGCATCAAGCTTTTCTTAGCACTCTGTGTTGTACCAACCTTCCTGCGTGTGCTGCCATTTGCTCAAGTCTAGCGCTTGCTGTGCCTTTGGCACCGTAAACAATACTCTCAGCCACTACCATTAATTGTTTTTCAGGATCCTAGTTACTCAAATATCTACTCTCTATAATCCTTTAATGGTGACAAGCTTATCAGTGTAATCTCTGAATTTTACCTGGATATCCCTTGCTCTCTGTGTGTTATTTTTTTAATTGCACACAAGACTGTGTCCAGCATGGTCCTCGTGTGCCATTGTCCAATTTAATAAATGTTTCATTTCCTTTCAAGCTGATAGTGTATTCATTTCCCACTGCAACACTGAGCTTTCCC